ATAAATAAATAAATAAATAAATAAATAAATAAATAAAAACAAAGCACTGGGTGGAAACTCGAAGCTCCACTTCCCTCAGCAGGCCCTACCCTTTTCTTGTTCCCGCAGGGGACGCCAAGGATGAGGGCAGGTCAGGGAGGAGGAGGGTCCCCAGGAGATGCCATGTCCACACACCTGGGGCCTTCAACTGCCCAACCAACACTACCCTACGTTTTGACTGGTTTCAAATGAATAGACGTCTTCTAAATTGATACTACAAAGAACATACAGTTTATCTGCATGATCTAGGGCTACAATTAGGAGAGGAATGATTTTTAGTGTTCCTTTTGCCTAAGGAAAACAAAATTCTTCTCTCCTGTGTTCTAGGTCTTACTGTGTCTTCCCAAGACCAGGGGTCAGCCTCAACATGAGCCAGAGGGTGCTATGCAGAATCAGAATCAGCAAGTGTGTAATCATACTCAAAATAAATTTTTTTTATATTCTAAAAACTGTTAGAAAAACCTGGGGAGAATATGTGGCAACAGATTTTAAGGGTGCCTGACCAAAGGGGACACACCTACCTTGATTTAGGGAAAGATCAAGTGAATTGACAGGCATTCAGTAAAGTAGCTATCATTTTTTTTTTTTAACGATTTATTTCGTGAGAGAGAACACCAGTAGGGGAGGGGTGAGTGGGGGAGAGAGAGAGACAGAGAGAAAAAGAATCCCAAGCAGGTTCCACGCCATCAGCACACAGTCCCACATGGGGCTCGAACCCACTAACCATGAGATCATGACCTGAGCAGAAATCAGGAGTCGGAGGCTTAGCCAACTGAGCCACCCAGGTGCCCCAGCTGTCATTATTTTTATTGGATCTTTCAGGCAATATTTAACTTCTGGGGAACATACATTTGTAATAATTATCAATACAAGGTATTGTGATTTCTTAATTATCATACAGACACTGAATTTAAGTGGAGTTTATTGCAGGTGCTTGAGTGCCTTCCTTGGTCCTCAACATGAATGAATCCTGCTGGCAAATGGCTTCTCTGACGCAGCCTTCTTTTGTGTCTTCTTACCAATCAAGGATCAAGGTGTGTGCTCCTTTGTTGCTAAAACCTTTGGAAGGTGACAGAAAAGAAGAGATACGTGTGATATAGGAATGAGAGGCCAACAAGAGCAGAAAGAGTTCCTCGGCTCAGCTGAACCCTCTGAAGCCTAGTGCGGCCAGAGCCAAGTGATTCATCTCGCAGGCCAGGGCCCCATCCAAACCTGCCTCAGCCTCTCCTCACTCTATCTGGATTCAGAAACTTGCAGAGATTCCAGGACACAGCCAACCCTATTATAGGTGGGGTAGATTGCTGACGTGTGCTAGGAGTTGAGGGACCTCCCCCGTGGTCCTGCTTTTATTTTATTTTATTTATTTTTTTTTTTCAACGTTTTTATTTATTTATGGGACAGACAGAGACAGAGCATGAACGGGGGAGGGGCAGAGAGAGAGGGAGACACAGAATCGGAAACAGGCTCCAGGCTCTGAGCCATCAGCCCAGAGCCTGACGCGGGGCTCGAACTCACTGACCGCGAGACCGTGACCTGGCTGAAGTCGGACGCTCAACCGACTGCGCCACCCAGGCGCCCCAGTGGTCCTGCTTTTATATGTCAGGATATCTGGGGTACTAAGTTATACTGGGATTATTATGATTTAGAAAATACTACCTTCCTTTCTTCCCTTTTTTCAAACCTCTGAACCTTGATCCTCCACTTTCACTATCAGCTGACAGATGACCTTCTCACTTCACTGAGAAAATGAGGTAAACAGAAGTGGATGATGTTCTTTCACAAAATTCACCACGCTATATCCATGTACTCTGCCTTCCTTCCTCTTAAAATGGATGGCTTGTCCTGCCCTCCATTTGAGTCCTGGATCCCACCTCTCTACAGGTAAAGGGTGTAGGGAGGATAGGCGAATGGATGAGGGGGACTATTTTAGGTAGAGAAGTCAGAGAAGTCTTCTCTGAGAAGGTATTTGTGCAGAGGTCTGAGTGAACTGAGGGAGACATGGAGAGATCTAGGGAAAGAGTGTTCCAGGTGGAAGGACTAGCAGAAGCAAAAACCTGAGATGGGAATGAAGTTGGTATATTAAGAAAACAAAAACAAAGTTGGTGAGGCTGGAGCATAATGACTGTGGAGAGAAGGCAGGTGCCTAATGGTACAGGGACTTAGAGACCATGCTAATTAGAATAGAATTAGAATAAAATCCAAAGCGTGAAGGGAAAGTCATTCAAAGGTTTACAGTAGGGAAGAAATCTGATCTAACATTTTTTAAATGAATATAGCTTCTTCATGGAGAACTGGTTATACAGGGGCAACAGCAGAAGCAGGAAAATCAGTTAGGAGGCCAGTGCACTAAGCCAGTTAAGATCACAATGGCTTGAGCTGGTGGTAGTAGCGAGGAACTGAAAAGTGAATAAACTGACAGAACTCAGTACCTGTTAGACGTGGGAAGTGAGTAAAGCAAGAAATCAAAGACAACACTTGGATTTTTGTCCTGAGGCATCCTGGTTGGATTATAATCAAGGGGAAATCTGGAGGCAAAGCGAGTTTGGCAGCAAGAGGGAAGCAAATACAAAAGTAAAGAATAATCCTTCTGGGGGCTGGTTAAATTCAAGATACTCATAACCACTACAATATATAAGGAGGGTTCATAAGGTATCAGTATAAAGCAACTTACTTTTTTTTCTCACTGTCTATTTAAGCCTGTTCTGTTGATGTAGTTCTCCTGCCCTGCTTCACCTGTTTTATTTTCCCCATTGCACTTATTACCAGCTCACATATTACACACTCATTGGTTTATTGTCTGGCTCCCCCATCAAATGTAAGTTCCTAAAGATCAGAGATTTATCTCTTGTTTACCGCTATGCCCCTCAAAGATTGCCCGGCTCAGAGTAGGTGCCTGTTATATTTTGAGGAAGCAAGCAAGCAAGCACAGGGGAGGATACTAAAACATGACAGTAAAAGGAGTTAAACTACAAAATAAAGTTTTACTAAAACTTCTATGAGTGAGTAAAAATAAAAGTAGCTCCCTTATCTTCTGGGGGTGGGAGTAAGGAACTGGAGAGACAGAGAAGAAGATGGAAAGACTGTATATTCAGACTAACACACCATTCCCATATTGATTTCTAACCAGGAGATGAGGAGGGTGGGCTGTGACTTCTCCTCCAAATCCACTCCTAAAACAGGCTCTACTCCAGAGCCTTGTACATAGGGTAGAGAAGAAAACTGAAGGAGAAAAGTGGCAAGTAGACCTAGACCTAGAAGCAGTAGACTACGCTAGACCAGTCACATGGTCACCAAGTTTAATTGTAGTCACCTTAGGATGAGAAATCTGTGTTCTGTGAACACCTACATTTGTATACATTTTACATTTGGGGGCTTTTACTTTACTCCTTAAATTTTACCACATTGAATTTAGTACATGGTTCTTTTGATAATTTTCTGCCTGTTTTGGTTGACTTAAGGGAAACAAAATTTAGGGCCTGGCTTGGGTGTGATAAGTGGTAAATAGTAGAGATACTAGAGATGGTGGGGAGACAAAATTCACAAGGGCAAAAATTCACAAGAAAGTAGGAAAATCTGATAGCCCACCCACCAGAGGGCATATCCATTGTGAAACTCTCAGGGAAATTCTCTCCATTCCCTCTGAATGCTTCTCAGTTTCTTCTACTCTCTCCCTTGCCTTGTTTGGGAGTAAAGGGGTACAGTCCCCTGCCTCCTCTCCTCCTGAAGGCCTGTCATACAGAGAAGCTCCCAGCTACTCAGACTTTGGCATCAGCAATTGCTACCTTGTGAATGGCAAAACAGGACCATCCCAGCACTCACCGCATCCTGGTCCTCATCCCTTTCTACTTCTTGGCTGAGGGCCATGGAAGAAAAGTGCCCTTCAGAGTTGACCTCTTTGGGACTTGGTTTCTTTTCTCTCATGAAAACATAGAGGCTCTTTTTCCAGAAAGGATGATCCTTTGTTTCTGCAGGAAGGAACCAGAAAGAATTCTCTTAAATAGCAACTCAATTGAAGCGTTTAATATTTTAATTTGAAGTTGATGAGTTCTAACGTTTATTTATTTCTGATAGAACACAAAGGGGGGGAGGAGAAGAGAGAGAGGGAGACACAGAATCTAAAGCAGGCTCCAGGCTCTGAGTGGTCAGCACAGGGCCTGATGCTGGGCTCGAACCCACAGACCATGAGATCATTACCTGAGCTGAAGTCAGTCGCCTAACCGACTGAGCCACCCAGGCGCCCCTGAAGTTGGTAAGTTCTATTTGAATCTACACATTTTTATGAAAAAGAAACCCAAATAAATAGCATTACCTTACTCTAATAATAGTTTCATTTGAAATCTCTTTGCTGCTTAATCAAACAGCTGAGTGAGGCTCTTTCAGGGTCAATGACCCCCTCAAAGAGCTGTCCACTGTGTCTTCCCAAGGAAGGTCTAACTTGCCAAAAACAAATATGCCTCCCCCCATTCCCCGATGCCATAATTGGGATATTTCCCTAATTCACAGACCAGAATCTAATCTTCCACCTCCTTTTTCCAAGGGGAACTCATAGACTTAAGTAGTCTAAAATATCGGCCCCCAGGTACTCCAACTTGCAATATTCTCCTTCAGATCTGGATCCCACTCTGCTAGAAGAGATATTTGAGGACAAAACCCCTCCTTTTACATTATATATAGAAATTAAATAGGATTTAAATGTTTACTATCCTAAAACCTGACCCAAACAGGTATGTGTGAGACTGTGGCAGTTAGGGATTATACAGAAACTTACTCTATTGAAACCGAGTATACAAGAGTGTTTCTGACACATTCCATTTTAAGGCCTTTAGCTACCAAGTGAATAAGGCTTAGCGTCAATACTTTCTATTATTCCTTAATTTCAGCTCCCATTCAAAAGGCAGCCAATAATTAAACCACACCTCTAGAACGATGGCCAGCTCCAGCTCTAAAGTCATAGGTTTCTACAGTTAGTCCTTCTCTCTGCTGCCCATGCCAGCATCAAACATCTCTAAAAGCCCTGTGCCTTCTGCCATACTGCATTTATTTATCAAATTCTGAGCCTATTCAGAAAAAGGAAAGAATACTGCAGCTTACTTTGGGGCTCTTTAGGGACAGAGAATTGTACACCAACATCCTAAAGAACATTACACAAGCTCATTTTTCTTCTGCTTTGCTAGGGCTGTTTTGTTTTGTTTGAGAGAGAGAGAGAGAGAGAGAGAGAGAG